ACACCCCCCACCCCCGATTCCCTGCAATAGGGATCAGGAACCATATCTTAGACATCTTTCTACTAAGATGTCAGACCCTGGCAAAGTGTTCAAAATCTGTTCCAGTCGACACTTACTGTGCACCAGGTGCAGAGAAAACACAGGTGAATGAGAAAAATGGGATCAACCCTCAGGAAAGCACAAAGGACAGAAGCCGAGCTCCTGTGAGAAGAGGACTGAGGAAGGCTTGGCATGAACACACACCGGGACACACAATCAAGAGCTGGGAGGTGCACACCAGGAGGAGGCAGAGAGACCTTCTAAAGAAATCATTAAAGAATACGAGAGAAGGAAGAGAGGTAAGGACGTGGGGGACGCTGCATCTTCTCGGGTGGCTACTACAGAAGGGACATGGGAGGAGGTGGCCGGAAGCTGGCTCCCAGGCTTGGACTTCATGACAATAGAAACAGTCGAAGGAGGTAAGCAGAGCGGACACAGGCATTGTTTTGAAAACATTTGATCCAGGAGTGATGTGGTTTCACTAATCTCTACAGTGTGAACTAGAAAGCACTGCCCAAGATGAGCCCAGACCATAGCAGTGAGGGAACGGAGGCCACAGTGACCACAGCATCTCTGGATATTCCACAACACCTTCAGGGAAACCAGCGGTGCAAAACTCCAAGGACTCGGGAACATGGACCCAGCGAGAAGGCCCATTTTCCTGGAAAAGTCCAGCTCAGGTGTCAGGATCACCTGGAGAACATGGGCTAATTACCATAAGCACTGGAGGAAACCATGGGAAATACATCTGGGCTGAGGCAGGCCTAAGAAAAGGGACCTGAAATTGAAAACACAGCCTAGAACAAACACTGGCCAAAGAATTCTGCAGCCTAAAATATCAGCTGCAGAACACAGACCGTCAACGACAACAAGAGAGAAAGAAAACAAGGGGGGAAAGGGCAGTTATTTCAACAGCTCATGGTCTGAAAAACTCCCACACGATGCCTTATTTTCCATTATGAAATTCAGTACTCGCTCAATCACATTATTCCAGACCATGTATTTTTATGTGTTTGGAGGAACTTGTTCAAGCGAAAATGCAAAATGCAGTGAGGAGCTCGGGGGACCCTAACAGCACCTATCTGGGAGCTAAAAGCCATTTGCATGACCGTTAGCTCAGCTGACTTTGCAGAACCATCTGGCAGGGTCTACTTACTTCTGAGAGTACCCAACTATCCCTAGAAACATGTCAGTGACATTAAACAAACAATGACAGCAAACACCTCTTCTCCTCACTGCTGCGGCTTACGTTCCCAGTTCAATTACACGGGGCCACAACAATTAAGAAGGCCTTTACACCATTTCCAAAGGGATGCTCAGCTGCCTAAATTTAGTTCACTGAAACCAGGACTAAGAAGAACATTTAGATCTTATGGGTCACGCAGGATGACTAGAACTTCCCAATCTCTCCATGTCATTTCCGTTTCTTTTTTTTTAAGTGCAATGAGTCATAGTGTATAGAGCTTTCTTCTCTGCACCAAAATACACTTTTGTTTTGTTGTCTCAGGAGAGAATAGTACAAAATAAACATTATTGGGAAGCTTTACCATTTCCCCCCTTGGAATGCAACAACATAAACTGTTGCAGCAGGAAAGAATGTTGGCAGATTACTGTATGACATGCATTTTAACCTATTCGTGCATTAGACTGCATTTCATAATGAAAGCAGCTATAAAAACAAATGTCAATTTGAAGAGTGGCCTGTTTTACAGAGGCTGCCTCTAGCATGGAATAAATCTTGCCTTCAAGTCAAGGGCTATTGTTGCCATCTCCTTTATGCGAAACAATCAAATCATTCACAGTGAAAAGAGTGAACAGTGACAGGGAACCAAAGAATCTGGAGATAAGAGCAAAGCACCTGATCCAAACCCTCTCAAGCAGCAGATGGAGGGCACTGTATCATATTCTTTTCATTCATTCGAGCTCTCTCTTCTCTTCTCCTAAAACCAGGTCTTCTTTTTATATCTGTGTTACCTCCCCTATTCTTGGCAGCCAGGCCAACTAAAGCTTGAAATCCACCAAGCATTATTTCCACTTTTCAAACAAGGCATGCAATTGCTAACTGCTAGAAAACAATTTTTTAAGCTATCTAAATTATGCCGTCAAAGCAGACTGTTTTACTACCAAATGCTCATTAGTATCTGTGCTATTATTAGGATTCAAGAGTAAAAACAGGTCTATACTGACTATCAAACTGAGCTAGCTGAGAATCTCTACCCGAAACAGTTTTCTTAAACTGTCACATTTTTCAACACTCAAAAGTCCATTTCAGCCTTTATTCTTTTCCCTAGTTCTTGCATCTTTTTACTTTAGTTCAGAAAGATGTCAGCATCAGGAGAGAGAATTATGCCACCTTATATTAAGAAGGATGGGCACTCTCCTCCCCTGCATTTACTGCCTCTGAAAACCCACTGGAGGGTCAGCTATGGGTTGTTCTGACACAATGGCATACCACCACCACAACAACAACAAGCAGCTCACAACATAGGTCTAAAGTCGTTCTCATTTTGACAGGCTCTTGACAACAGTCATTTTTAAGAAACTTCTATTTTCTATCCACCAGAAGTACATGACATTCTTGAAAAATAATGGTTTTGGAAAACTCACACAAAACTGGGAAAATTTGCCACTTTAGACTCAACTGCATTTGAATTGTGCCCATTTTTTTAATACCACAATTAAACAATAAAGAGCCAATGACAACCTTTGTAAGGAAAAAAGTTCTTAATTTTCAATCTGCTTGGTAAGAAAAGCCTCAGTGGACATTTCTCTAAAGTCAAAAGAAACCATTACAGGGAGCTCTCGTGGCTTAGTGGCAAGAAGCTGCACTGCAATCCCAGAGGTAAACAGTTCGAATCTACCAGATGTTCTGCTGGAGAAGGAGGGAGAATCTCCTGTACCAGTCAGATCTGATTTGACCGTACACACACACACACACACACACACACACATGAAAAAAAAAAAAAAAGAAACCATCTCCAGTAGGTAGCATGGCAGTCCATTGAGAAGCTGGGGAAATTTCAACAGAAAGCAGTCGAGACCAAGCCTCAGTGGTCCGAATGGGGTAGGGACGCTCAAGAGAAATGAAGAAAATGAACCGAAGAATAACAGGCTCCACGCTGGCAGCTTAACGCACTCTTGACAGATCAGACCACCTAGACCTAAAACTGATAAAAATCAAACTCATTTTTGAGTCAGTCTTGGTACAAAAGGGTTTTTTCCTCCATGCTTTCACTCATGATGGAATATACTGCAGTCAAGCCTGACCCTTCGGACCAACGATTTTCATTTAAGATCGTTTTATATGCTAGTGCATTCAATCTGAGGCACAGATCTGTCCATACCTTCTCAAAGTCACTAGCGGCATTCATTCAATTAGCTCATGGAGACGAAGCACAGAATACCAATTTTTATATTGATCGAGTCTACTTCCAAGGATTACTCTGATCTGGCAACGTTATATTAGTCTCTCTGAAGGCATTATACGTTGTAGTCCAAGTACAAAGAGTCCTATCAAATAAGCCCAATGCAAATCCACACGAAACCAAGACTGCCAAAAAAAGGCTTTGTTAGCCAAGCGTACCAAAGAAGTGCTTAAAGCCTTTTTCCCTTTTTAAGAGGAGCTCAAAATAGATTTTAATACTACCAGCTGATGGTCCTCACAGTTTGCCTTTTGAGCCTTAAGCTGAACACAGGAAAAGGGGTGGGGGTGGGAGGGGGGAGACAGAAAGAAAAACCAAACCTGCCTTCTCTCTTTACACCAGTAACAAAATCTCTCTATTCTGTGTACTGCTTATTTAAGACACCAGTGTGGTTTTGGTTAACCCTCACAACCCCCGCAATGACATTTAATCGGGAGGGAGTATTTTCTTTAGCGCATTTAACTGTTTGTGGAGGCAGACCTCTCCGTGTTTTTAATCTGATGTTTCAGAGATAGGTGGGAAACCTTTCTCTCTTGCTAACCTATTTTACGAACCATCACTACCCGCCTGGTAACACACAGGAGACGGATAACCCCTCTGCTCAGACTAGGAAGATGCTACTTGAGCGTCAAGCTTTAACCCTTTCCAGTCCCTGCTTGCAAGAGTGTTATTTTGGCCCTGGGAGTGGCTGCGTGTTCCTGGCTGAAAAGCTCTTCTCCCTGCAGCAGCGCTTGCTTCTCCTCGTGAAGCTTACAGAGCAGACATCTCTTTTTAGGGGACAGACCTTCTCCTAATTCTCCTCATTAAGGTAGCCCCCCTTTCAACCCCAGGCTCTCCACTCCCTCAGATCTTCTGTTTCCTTCACATGTGTCACCATCTCTGCAATCACCCCTTTGCGGTTTGTCTGTCTTGCCCTAACCGACTTTTCGGGCTAGGGCCTCGCCAGTCCATGCTCAACACGGCCTCTCCAGCGCCGAGAGCGCGGACCAGCATGGAACAGGCAGGCCGACCAAGAGCCATCGGATGAATGGACAGGAAAGGGGAAAGGGGCTGTCATCCTTGGACCTGAGAACAGCGAGATGCGAGGAGAGGAAATGTGAGGGGGAGGGGAAGAAATCCTTGCGTGGGGGGTGGAGGGGGTGACAAAGGAAGAGAGAATGAGGTGGTCCCGACTGGAAAAGGAAGTCGTGGGGGGGGTGCTAGGTCCACCCCAGGGGACAAAGAGGGCTGGCCAGGGGGGCGGGGTCGCGCGGTGCCAGGAGCTCGCGCAGGCAGCCTGGGGAGGCGGCTCCAGGGGTCACCGGGGCTGCAGGATACGCAGTGGGTGGGGGGATCCCAGGAGGATGCGAGACGCAGGCCCACCCGGGGGGGACAAAGGGAGGAGGGGCGCCTCCGCCGCCGCCGCCGGATCGAATCCTCAAGCCGCAAGGCTGTGACCGAGGGGCCTCCCCACCCCGGAGGAGGAACGCGGCTTCGGCTCTAGGGGAGGATGCCCGCGGCCTAAACGAAGAGCTTGCGCGCTCGCGGGCGCGCCCGCACCTGGTAAATGGCCGCCCAGCTATTAGCCTTGTCGATCTGCTCGAACTCCTTTTCCATCTCCATGACGGGCCAGGGCGGCTGCTGCGTCTCCTCCTCGGCCCACCGCGCTGTCCGGCAGCTGCAGGCCGCGTCGAGATCTGCGCCTCGAGAGCGACCGCAAGATCCACTCGAGCCGCTATCGCCGCCCCAGCCGCCGCCGCTGCCTCTTCATGTCAACCCCTGTCAACCGGAAGTACGCACAGCGCCTGCCGGGGCTCCGCCCCCTGCTCCGGAGAGCCAATCAGCGCGCTCCGGAGTCCGCAACACTTCCGCGGGGCGGAGTCAGGAGGTTGTGCCGGGGGAAGTGGCCTCGGCCCCGCGCGACGTCGGGAGCGCGCCTGTCCCTCCCGCCTGGGCTCGGGGCCTCGGGCGTGGCGCGCGCCCGTCGCCTAGGCGACCCCCTGGGCACCTCGCTCTTGGGGCTGCAAGGCGTGCAAGGAGTGAGTCTTGAGAGTTACAGTGACCTTGACACCGTCCTGCCGCAAGGTCCTGGCCTCAGTGCTCCAAGCTGCAGTATTGGGCAGAAGACTGTATGCCCTACTCTTACCGCCCAGCTCTGGCCAGAGGATGAGGAAGAGCTACAGCTCCCTGTCTGCAATACTCTAAAGAATACACATCGTTCCATAGTCTTGTCAAATACCATGTTTACCCATTATATACAGTGTTTGGATGAGCTTCCAGATTGATTTATGCTGGGAAGCTGGAGTGGCATCCACGTCCTAGAACTGAATGCCTCTGGAAACTCTACAAACTCTCTAAACTCTTTAAATGTACAGAAATGATGGTAGTTATAGAACAGAGTTCTGTACAGAAATATTAGTCGTAGCACAGAGTTTAGATCTTTTGTGCAATACCTAGTCGTTTTCGACTTGACAACACTTAACCACTGCTATATCTGGAGGAAGACTCTTCCACTTTGTACATCACTCTTTGTCAATGTGCTGTATGAAGTAACCTGGGTTGCTGTGATGCTGAACCTTCTGCCATTAGGGTATCAAATACCAGAATGGTTTCCCAATGTGGACAGTGTTTGGTGGAGCTCCCAGATAGAAAACAGGTCTGCAAGCAGGAGTGGTATCTACTTCCTAACCCACGTGCCTCTGGAAACTCTATGAACTTGGTGAAATGACGACAGTCATGGAAAGGCATTAGGTCTTTTGTTCATAGAGTGGCTATGAGTCACGCTCGACTCAACAGCAATCAACAACAACAACAGAGAACAGTCATTGTCCCGTCTTTATCCAGGGGATCCTACGATGATCCGCATTTCCCTGAAAGCCCACCTTGATCCTGCTCAGCTGGGGCTCAATGGAGCTCCCATTCCTTGATGCGTGAAAATCACCTGGTAAATGCGCTGAGCGATGCAGATTTCTGGGACCAACTCCAGAAGACTGGCTACCTTTGGTCACCACCCAGTCCTGGGGAATTCTAATGCTCAGTGGTCCTTGAAACCCTCAGGAAGAAGGTCTGGTCAAATCGTCTTCCTGTGAGATCTAGCTTAATCCGTCCACCTCTGTCTGGCGGGGCACCTTCTGTGTCACCTGTGAGTTGCTGTGGGGCCAGAGGAGAGCTCTGGTGGTCTAATGGTGAGGAGTTGCCCTGCCAGCCCAAAGACATGCAGATCCACCTACTTCTCGGAGAAAGATGGACAGTCTCCTCCGGTGCAATTAGCTGTTTTTGAAAACTCCCTGGAGGCTCATTTATGAGCTGATTCGGAAAGGGCAGCGCCCAACAACCACCACAGAGGACTATATCTTCTCTCTTCCTGTTCCCATTCCGAGCCTCTTGGAGTAGCTAGCTACCTGGGATTCTTGGTTGAATTCCAACTCATTCTTTTAGTGCCTGTGGCAGGCACTGTACCTGCATTCCAAGTACACATTATCATTTAATGCCCCCAAGAGCCCTACAAAATTGTCATTGTTATTATTCCCATAATTCAGATAAGGGCTCTGAGGCAAAATCCACTTGTGCAGAGCAGCACTTGTTCTGGAAGGCAGAGTTCAAAGTCAGTCTCTCAGGTAGTAGACACTTTGGAGCCAGGCTTCCTGGGCCTCCATCCAGCATTGCTGCATACCAGCTGTGCAACCTTGGGCAGATTACCTAACTTCTCTGTGCTTCTTTTGTAAAATGTACATTAGAAAAATGCTTATCTTAGAGAAGTAATGTTAGGCTTGCAAACGGTAATGCTCTTTGTATATTATTAGTAAGTGTCATTATTACACACTTTCAAATAACAAATGTTGTTATGAGCTGTTGAGTGTTGAGTCCCATAGCGACCCTCTGGACAGCAGCTCTGAAGCCTGCCCTGTCCTGAGCCAATCTCACTGATTCTGACACAGGAGCCCTCACTGTGCAAGTTAACTGTATCACTCCAGCTCATCCGAGGTCTTTCTCTCCTAGAAAGTAAATTTTTATTTTAATAATTTTTTTATTGAATAAATGCAATTGTTTACAAGGCAGCTCCCTTTCAGGGAAGAGGCAGCATTTACAAGAGGTGTCCCTTCAAGTGAGGAATTTGGAACCTCACACTTAGAAACTGCCTGCGTCAAGTCTTGGCCCACTTAATGCCCTGTGGGTTGAGCCTGCTTTCTACCCTCTTATTATTTATCCAGGTAGTACAACGAGTAAGTTCTCAGCTGCTTAAAAAAAATTTAAAAATTGAAACTTTCAAACTCATCAGCAGCTCTGGGCAAATAAAAGTCCTGTCATCTGCTTGTATAAAAATTGCACCCCAAGAAACTCTAAGGAGTAGTTCTATGTTGTCACATGGATTTGTTTTTGTCCTGTGCCATCACGTTAACTATGATTCATAGGAACTTTATGAATAATAGATCTGAACCCTGCCCTATCTTGTGCCATCCTCCTCACCTCTGATGCATTTGAGTCCATTGTTACAGTCACTGTTGATCTATCTCATCAGAGTCCTGTATCAAGCTGACCCTCCAACTTTCCAAGCTTAATGCCCTTTCCTAAGGACTGCCCTCTTCTAACCCCATGCCCAAAGTTTGTGAGATGAATGAACCTTTACTATCCTTGCCTCTTCGATGGTTCCTCTTTCTCCATGACATATTTGTTTGGGTTTTTTTATCAGTTCATGGGATACTCAGCATTATTTTCCAATGTCATAACTCAGTCGCATTGATTCTTCTTTGATTATCCTTAGTTGCTTGTCCATGGAGTAGCTAGAAGTTGAAATCTTCCCAATAGCACCAATCAACAAGTCTCTCTGGAGCCCCAGAAGTGTACACTATAGGGTTGGTTTGTTCCTATTCCCATGCACAGAGCCAAGAAGGAAGCAAGTGCCCATCTTGAGCCCAAGTGGCCTTCATGCCTACAGGAAGTGCCATCCAGTGACCAGAGTGGCCATAAAGTAGGACCCAAACTATGACAGGAGCTCAGGGTTGTTGGAGGTGGAAGTATGGGGCAGAGGGGACTTTGTGCAGCTCAAGCCTGATCCAAGCTTGGGAAATTGAATACCTGCATTGATTTCATAGAACTGCTGTTATAAATTGCAGTAAATTTGGTGACTTAAAATAACAACAAAAAAAAAATACTGCACAGCCCTCAAGGCTAGAAGCCCCAAATCAAGGTAAGATTCCCCCATCTCTCTGAAGGTTCTAAGAGAAAATCTTCCTATGTTAATTTAACTTTCCCTGATTTGTGGCAGCATCCCACCAGTCTTTGCCTCTGTTTTCAGGGCCTTCTCTGTGTCTCCTCCTCTTCTTTCATCTAAACGCCTTCATCCTCATCCTCACAAAGACACTCATCATAGAATTTAGGTCTCACAATAGCAACATTGTTGGCACTCAACCATTCACCTAAAGGTTGGAGATGCAGACCCATCCACAGAAGAAAGGTCTGGTAAACTCCTTCTCGTAAAGATGACGACGTAGGAAGCTCAGTTCTACCCTGAAACACATAGAGTCACCCTGAGGCAGAACCAACTGGACTACAGCAGGTTTGGACTACTCTGTCCAGGCCACTGGATTTAGGGCCCATTCAGGTGATCCATCTTCATCTTGGGTCCAGAATCAATACTCATCATACCAGTAGGCAGGGGATCAAGAAATGTCTGCACTGGAAAAGTCTGCAGTTGGAGACCTCTCCAAATTACTGAGGAACAATGATGTTAGTTGAGGACTAAGGTGTGCCTGATTCCAATCATGTTTTTTTTTTCAGTCACTTGCTATGCTGCTGAGAGCTAGACAGTGAATAAGGGATGACAGAAGAAGAATTGATGTCTTTGAATGTAGTGTTAGAGAAGAGTACCGAATATTTCACAGACTACCAAAAGAACAAACAGACATGTCTTGGAGAGGGTGCAGCCAGAGTGCTCCTTGAAGGCAAGAATGGTGAAGCTGCAACTCACATACTTTGGGAGAGGCTATTCTTTGGAGAAGGACTTCATACTTGGGAAGATGGAGAGATGATAATAGAGAGGAAGACCACCAACCAGGTGGATTAAGATAGTGACTGCAGCAATGGGCTTGAGTGTGTCAGAGATTGTGAAGTTGGCACAGGACAGGACGTGGTTCAGATCTGTTGTTCAAAATGTTCCTATGAGTTGTACTTGATGGCGCCACCAACAACAACAGTTGATCCAAATCAATCTCATCTTGAGATCCTTAACTGGGCCGACAAAGCCCCTTTCTCCAAACGAGGGCACATTCACAGTTGCTAGGGGACCAGGACTTAGAGGGTCACCATTGCACCCACTCTAGGGGCATCAAGACTATCAGTTCCAGGCGAATCCTGTAATTTCAGGTACCAGCTCAATCAGCCTACATCCATTCTTTTAGTCATTCAATGGGGAACCTCTACTATGTAGATCGACCCATTGACTTCTCATCTTCTCAGAATTGTTGTGTGCCATCTGGTCGGAACCCACCTGTAGCTGCCTCTCCAGCAGGTTTTCAGAGCAGTAAACCTCACAGGAGATGGCCCATCTTTCTCCCATAGAGTAGCTGGTGGATTTGAACCACGTGACTTTGGGTTGACAGCTCAGCTCTTTACCACTATAAATCCCAAGTAATTCTTCACCCTGGTCTACAAGACCTGCCGGACCTGCCCCGGACAGTTCTCAACCTCTCTCCTGCCACTCTCTTTCCTCCACTTCAGCTCTGCCAGTCTGCTGTTTGTCCCCAAGTCCATCAAGGTAGTCCCCCCAAAAAAAGACCCTCACAGCAACTGTTCCTTCTGTTAGGGTCACTTCCGTTGCACCTTT